AGACAACGAGGACAGGGGTGACTCTCCATATCTTAATTAATGTTAATGAGCAAGCAGGATGGATTATGTACAATCGAATCTAAAGTAAGTATAGTATAATCTGTCGTAATCTGTATTTGCAGGACAAAGGCATTAGGGATGACTTTAGCTGTCCAAGTAACTAAAGCAACTATTTGACCTCGCTTACCCATCTTAAATGAACCTTTGAAAAGGATTTAGTTGTCAGTAAATACTGGATTAATATTGATTCTGATTGTCAGGTCTGATAGAGTTTATCGAAAACAAGGAAGCAAGGTGTCTCTGAGTCAGATTCGGAAGACTTTGCTTCGACGATTGTGTCAAATACTGGAACGACGATTATATCCTGACCCATCTTACAAGCAGTTGCAAGAAAACGAAAAGTTATGTAAGAATTTCAAAAACATTGTAGGATGTTACCTCGCATACACAAAACGGAGGCTTCAAAAAGTCACCGGAATGACAAAGAAGCCACCAAAACAGATAGAAGGAACAGAAGCAGGCAGGAAGGTGTTTCTGCGATGACATTGCATCAACATCATGGACGACAAATACATGGAGGCTTAAAGAAGAGCGTCTCCAATTCAAGGGCTGGTTTTAAATACCAAGAAACAGATAAAGAGGAAAATATCTTCAAGACAATTACTGTTCCAGGTAATCATTTGCTAAGGGATGTCATTAGAAGGCATTCCAGTTCTTTGTGTACTTCGCTTGCAGAAATACGAAAACACCAACCAGTATTAATCCGTAATAACCACACCAGCTTAAGGAAGTATAGCTGTCCCGATTTGCGTTCGCAGCTTGTATCAACTACCAATCGACTTCAGACAACTAAGTATGAATTTAAGGAGGTTTACAAAACTCGCGGAAATGTTAGAACGCGTGTTTCTGTGACGGATGATCATAAACGACTCGCTCGAGCGAACCTAGAACTAAACAGCTTTCTTTCAGAATCAACAAATCAAGAAGGAAAATTATTCATTGACATTGTAAAAAACAGTAAGGGTAATATTACCTGCAAAAAACCTGGTAATTTAACCAAACAATTACAGAATTTCCAAGTAGCTAATGAAATAAGTTGTGAACCTTCTATAATGAACGATGTTGTATCAGTAAGTGATGCATATGAGGATACAAAATCTCGCCCTTTACCAGAGTGTTTGGACAACTCCGACCTAAGTTACACAGGTGAAATACGAAGAGGCAATGAAAGATGTGTTTCTCCCAAGTCACGACCGACTCGAGGTCGTAACAGCATTATCGCTTGGTTACAAGATGTTAGTCTAGGATGATGGCCTTGTTGAACAAGGAAGGTGCAACTTCGACTACACATGCAACTCTAGTTATTACAGAACGTTGTAGAGTGATTTGGAGCAAGTTTCCTTCGTAACTCACAACATGAAAAAACTTCCTGCTGACCAATGATTTTCATCATTATACTGCTTTAAAATTCAGGTTAACAAACTCATCAAAAATAAGATGGCGAAACAAAGAAAGCTATATACATGAATATCAAAAACTAATTGAGTAATTTATGTACAAAAATATACATACGATGAAAAAATATATATACGAAGAAAACCCCAAGATGACGCAAGAAGTATCAAATACAATTTTTGCCACAAATTGTTAATATCTCGCGCGTTGATTGGCTATTTATTATGATGGATAAGAGGACAGTCAAATAAGCTGACGTCAACGAGCGCGCGCTCTTTCCGTTGGTTGTTTTGATCATTAAAAACACGTCTAAAAATACAAATCGAGGTCTCTTTTCTATGGTCTGTACTCTTATCGAACATGGAATGGCGTCAGCATATGATCCAACCTTTGCAGTGAAACCACTCGCTGCGCTCGTGGTTCCACTCGAGTTTGGATCATATGCTGACGTCATTCCATGTTCGATAAGAGTACAGATCATAGAAATAAAAAGGGACCTTGATTTGCTAATGGGCCCTAAATTTAATCAGGGTTTTAAAAAGACGGTCGATAATGGAACGATAATGAATCACTGATGGCAAACGGTGGCGGGCAATTAAGAAGGCGGCAAGCAATCCTGTTCGCGTCTGATGAACATGATTAGTGATGAAACTTTATTATACACGACTTCAAAGTTAATGATACCAATAGGAGACTATATACTATGTATAAGATATATATACAAAATAGACGCATTTATAAGAATGACGGTATCGGATTTTGATTGGTTTATGGCTTCCACGTGATGACTTTTACTGCAATCTGAGCAGCCTTTCTAACGGCAGGGCTGTCGTGGTCACGAACAAGATTTTCAACCTTCAATCAGAAAAAACTCACAGTCAATCAAAGATAGGTTTCGAAACAACACATGTTATTTGAATTAGCAGTCAGTGATAGACATGTTGGATACCCCCCCCCCCCCCCCCCCGGTTGGGCCGGAACCAAGCTTGCAAAGGATACATAAATTTTTTTCTATAAGTTTGTTACGATTTCCGCTCGAGCATGGGATAACAAAATGCTAAACAAAAACAATTGTTATTCGTAGTT